TCTCCCCAGGGCTGATGTTCAGCTGCAGGAACACTGCTGGAGAGGCACCACCACAAGGAAACCACCATGTGCCATCCCCAGCCTTTGCCCAGGGTGGAAAACCTCCCCTTTGGTGCTCCTGGAAGCACTGAGGGAGCAAACCTTCCCTTTTGCTCTCCTGGAAGCACTGAGGGAGCAAACCTCCCCTTGTGTGCTCCTGGAAGCACTGAGGGAGCAAACCTCCCCTTTTGCTCTCCTGGATGCACTGAGGGAGCAAACCTCCCCTTTTTGCTCTCCTGGAAGCACTGAGGGAGCAAACCTCCCCTTGTGTGCTCCTGGAAGCACTGAGGGAGCACACACACATTTTGTGCCACTCTTTCCGAGACTCATGGAACCACAGCAGTGCTGCCACAGAGTCCCTGCCACTAACATGCTCCTGGATCCCTGGAGAAAATGATCTTCCCTCTCCTTTCTGCAGCAAGGAAATGTTTTATTTAGGGAACTGCTAAATGATGAAAGTCTTGGGGACAAGATACTGAAAAACAGAGAGAGAGAAGAGAAACCACCCACTGGTGGGGGAGGTTAACCAGCTTCCACATCACAGCAAATGGAGTAGAGACAACAGTGGAGGAGAAAGAGATGGAGTTTGTGAACATCTGGTCTTGGAAATACTTGTGAGTGGCCCTTACATGGGGCATGGTGCTCAGACAGTGCTGCAGGACAGATTCTTCCAGAGGTTTAATTTTTATTGTTAGAATTCTAGCAGCACATTCCCCCAGTGAAGTGAGATAAATGTGCACCAGGAGGAGAGATGGTGTAAGCAGTGACAAGATCAGAGCACGAGATAGCAGTGGGTGTAGCTGTAGTGTGATGATTCTCTCCCAAACCACGAGGGACTGTAATTTCAGTGACATACTTCTAGCCAAACCATACAGCACACTTTAACAAGCCTCTAGGCTGTCACAGTGTGTGAAAATACTCTACTCTTTGTCATATTTCAATTTCATATTAATCTTGAATCACTCACAGAACCTCCCTCATAACTCAAGGGTAAATCCTAGAATGAAGAAAGATGACACTGCCTGAGTGCTGCTCAGCAGCAGCACCAGGGTTCATGCCATGCCTTGTGGTGAAGTGCTCTGTGTATCTATTAACACACACTTTAAAACACAAGGGTACTGATTAGTACAAAACCTGTGAAGCTCTTGCTCCCTTGGGAAAGGGGAGGTCTGTACCCCAAAGCCTGTTTGGGATCACTGCAGTGCATTAATATCATTCAGTATTCACACACAGCAGCCTTTGCATGTTCAAAATCCTGCGCAGACACAAGCTGATAAACCCTCAGAAGTCTCTGGCAAAATGTGCTATCTGCCAGCACCTGCTCATTTCAGAGTCCAGTGAGGAGCAGCACTTTGTCTGAATAAAAGATGATGGCAGTTTTTCCTTGCCAGAATGATTCAGGGATATGCACAGGGGGTTGTCAGGCATGCTCAGTTGTGGGGGTTCCTTTAAGTGGTGAGAACACAGCAGCTAATTGAAAGCAGCTTTAACTCCTCATGAGCTACTTCAGACTCTGGTGTTTGCTACTCCTGCCCAGATAGAAAAATGCAGTTTTACTCTTCATATAATGAGGGGAAAGTAACCAGGATTCAGAAGCTTCAACAGGAAAACATGAAAAAGCCTGCTTATCAGCAGCTGCCAGCAGAGCACCATTTTGAAAAGAGGCTCTACAGGTAAGAGGAAAAAGAAACAACCTGTGTTAGAAAATACTGGAAGTAAAGGAACAATATGAACACAAAATAACTCAGTCCTTCTGGAACCTCTCTCAAAGACACCTCGTGCTGAGCATAAACAATTAAGGACTCAGCATCAACAGCCACATTTAAAAAATAAGACCAGATCTGTCTTAAATGAATTTTTACTGCCCTTCAACCTTTACCAAAGTGGATTAGTTTGACTTAGAACTGGATTAAATCCCACTGAAAATGATTGATCTGAAACAATGACCTTTCACTGTAGAACATAACATGAAAGACTTTGGGGATAAGACTAATGAAGTGCAGAGATAAAACAAAATGCCTTTGCCAACATTTCCAACAGTGGCCTCTGATTCTGGGTGCCCCACTTGAGTCACTGCACAAAGTGCTCATTTCCTCTAAAAACGAGGCCCCAGGAAAGCTGAGCCAGGCATCCAGACTGAGGGACTGCCTGAAAACACTTCCCTGGAGCTGTCTCCCCCTGCATTTGTCCTGAGTGGGTGTTGGATGCAGCAGTGACAGAAAGCAGAACTGCCAAAGGGCTGTGGGCAGGAGAAGCTGCTGCTCACATCCTCCATCCTCTGTAGCAATGCCTTGGATCAACTCAGGGAAGGTTTCATGGCAGTTCCTGTGCAGGACCTCCCAGAGCCTTTTCCACAGCACACTCCAGAGCAGAAACACCCTCAGCCCCCCACCTTGCCAGGTCAGGGCTGGCTGCTGAACTGCCAAGAGAAAAGCCACCTCCAGCAGCAGTGCTGGAAAACATGGATGCTGCCTATTGGAGAGTGTCCCTCTCACCCCAGGGAGGGTCAGTAACAGAACTTCTGAAAGTGCTCCTAGATTTCCATCCCCCTTCTGTGACCAATCAAGACATACCAGCACTGTACTTTGGGCCCTTATATGCATTTAAAGATAAAAATAACTTTGGGTTTTTTCTATCTAGGGCAAGCTCCTTCCTTTGCTAGGCCAAGCCATGTGGAGGAGGAGGAATGACAACAGCAGGTACAGCACATTCAGCTCAGGGCAGGTCAGCCACGTGCTCAGCGTGCTTCCAAGTACAGCTCCAAGGAAGAACAACAAAAACACATCCAGAGCTTGCTCCAGATGGTAGCACAGGGAAAGCAGAACATGATGGGGACACGAATCACATCTAGGAAACCAGAACGAGGTAAGGCACAAATTGAACAAATTGCTACCCCAATGTGAATGCAATGGAAAGAACTCCACGAGGCTCTCCTTGAAAGACCAACTCCAGCCAGCAGCACAGGCAGAGAAGGTCAAAAGCACTACAGGCATTCAGCATAGATTCACCTGTTCTCTTCCTCTGCTGCAAGGCCAGGCACCCCGTCTGCTCTGGCTCATGGATGGGGGAGCAGCACCCAGCCCTGAGTTGCTGCTCAGCCCAGCTCAGCCCTGAGTGCTGCTCAGCTCAGCCCACCCCTGAGTGCTGCTCACCTCAGCCCAGCCCTGAGTGCTGCTCAGCCCAGCCCTGAGTGCTGCTCAGCCCAGCCCAGCCCAGCCCTGAGTGCTGCTCAGCCCAGCTCAGCCCAGCCCTGAGCGCTGCTCAGCCCAGCCCAGCTCAGCCCTGAGTGCTGCTCAGCTCAGCCCAGCCCTGAGTGCTGCTCAGCCCAGCCCTGAGTGCCGCTCAGCTCAGCCCACCCCTGAGTGCTGCTCAGCCCACCCCTGAGTCCTGCTCAGCCCAGCCCAGCCCAGCCCTGAGTGCTGCTCAGCTCAGCCCACCCCTGAGTGCTGCTCAGCTCAGCCCACCCCTGAGTGCTGCTCAGCCCAGCCCAGCTCAGCCCTGAGTGCTGCTCAGCTCAGCTCAGCTCAGCCCAGCCCTAAGTGCTGCTCAGCCCCCTGGAACCCAAGGGGCCAAGTCCTGAGACCATCTGTAGGCCCCACTTGCAAATTCCCATCCAAACGCAATTAGCTCCACCAAAGTGCTTTGTGCAGGTTGAATATCCAGGTGACATGGGGTGAGACTGGGCCAAAATACAATGTGCTTCAGCCACTTGACTTTACATCTCTTAAAGGGATATTTTAATTTGCTCAGTTTTACACACCAAACTTTTGAATTGTCTAACATAAATTTTCAGAAAAGTAATAAGTTATTTCACTTGGGAAATGACCTAGAAAATTCAGTTGTCCTCCAGAGAGCAATTGTACCAAATTCAGAAATGAAATTCATTAAGTGTAAGAGAAAAGGCCTTAATTCTGCTTTAGCTGAAAATCCTTTTTCAGATTTAAGTTTGGAAAAGAGACTTGTTGTTCTAGTACTCCTGAGGAATGTTGCTGAATTGAACCTCTTCTTTTTAACTAAAAACTCAAAACAACTGTGTTCTTGAACTATTTTTAAAACTTACAAGGTCTTAGGACACTGGTGTTGTTAACGTGGTAGAACAAAGGTCACTTATATGCCAAGCCAAAATACCTGCATTCCCTAGCACGGGTTGCTTTCCTAGAAAAGAACCTATATAGAATGACAGCTCTCTGAAATTCCTATACAGTCAATGTTAATCTAATCTTATCTCCCCTGACAGAAAGCAGAACCAAGTATTTGAAAGGTACTGAAAATACATCTCATTGTAAGAGAGGCGTCATTCCTCTTTACTCCAATACATCTTCAGCAGCAGGGAAGTGTAACCTCCCTGGCTTTCATCCTCATGTATCATGTAGCACTGGCTGCCTAAATCAGTCATTTTTGTGACATGTCACCAGCAGGGATGAAAACTAAAGCAAAACTAAAGTACCTTTGGTATATCACACAGCAGCCCAGCAAGATCCAGGGGGAATTTTGCTATGGGGCTGCTGCCTCTGTGTGGAGCCGCGTCTCTGGCTGGCTCCTGACCGTGTCGCGTCTCCGTTCCACCGCGGGCCGCAGAA